TCTAACAGAGAGAGAAAGTCGCGAACGTATAATGCTTACGCATTAATAAATATTTATGTAATTAGAAGTACGTCTCGCCATATCATTAAACGATAAGATAGAACGATCGTATACAGATTCGTTTTCATGGTGTTTTAAATTTAGATGTTCAATATTTCGTTATCTCTATGTGCAATAACGTAATATTCCAGCAAGGCGAGATAAACGGCTGACTTTATCAACTAACAGCCGGGCGTGCAACTTTCCCAACTTGGTTCTCCTTGAAAGAACGGCTGGCCACAGGGATCTCTCTCGACGTATACGTGATGAAGTCGAGCCGGTCGAGCCTCCGCGGAAGCGACGTTCCTATTGGTCGTCGCCCTCCGCTTGTATCCTGTTAATAATTCAATATTGTTGCGTCATGCACACAGATTCTATTACCGTCATTATGCATTTTTTTACTTCACCGTCCGTATAAGAAGGACGCGCGCGTACATACATCTAGAAACAGATAACGTTCGACTAAAAAAAACTGTGATAACCGTGACTCGCCGAACGCATTACAGTCCGCGCGATCAAAGTCCACATTGATAAAATAAAAAAATAAAAAAAAGAAAAAATGTCAGGTACAGGAAATTCATCACAAAAACTTTTTCACCGAGAATAAATGTAATAATAATTTTAAACGCGTCTACTCGCGGATTACCAGGAAAGCTTCGAATTATTGACGGATGTAGAAATATTCGCGATAATATTCATTCGAAAAGTATGCTTCTTTGTAGTGATCGGGGCTTTTATGCGTAACCGATGTATAATCCATACATGACGAAATGGTGCGTCGGTCGAAATCACGTCATTTTCGATCGCGCGACGACCATATCTTTCCGGCCCCCAACTTTCGTCTGCGTGACTTTTGTCACGTGGTTGCGTGCAGGTGCCCTGCGGGTTCATTCCTCTGTGTCTGATATTCTCTGCATCAAGGGCTTGATCGCAAAAAATTCCGACTCATCCCATGGATCTCTCGTAACGAACGCCATCGCGTATCTTTGTTCATGTTTGCTCATATATCGCTGAATTGTGTCGCCGATAGTAGAGCAGATGAGCGTCCTGTTACCACTTGGTAATCTCCTGGTAGCGTTACATTGGCGTGGCGATTGGATCTAATGCGGAATTTAAAAATTAAAAATACTGAGAATGATAATTAAAGTAATTTCAATGTCGCGAGAAATATTTATTAAAATGCAGATGATCAGCACGCTGTATGAATACGAGAAGATGGCGATTTTATACAAAGCGCAATTATTTATCAGTCCTTGGTATCACACGATTTTGCAATTGTTATACTATATTCTTATAATAACAAAATAATTTGATAAAATCTATACATCGACACAAATAATATACCGTTAGAGATAACAATTTTTTGATAATAAATTCACACATGTAAAACATAAAAAGGACAGCTGTATCAGATATCAAATAATGTGTCAGATAACATAAGTTTCGAGAAATAATTTCATTGAAATTTTAGTTACATAATCGAAAGACTAAAAAATAGAATTTTGATATTGCTGCGTAGGAAATAGCTTTGCAAAAGAGAACGCGACACAAGTTATACTATACATATATGTATATATTATTCCGATTGAAAAATATATCATTCGATGTCACAAAACTTAAAATTTACAAAATCACATGCAAATATTGCGTCTCGTTTAAATATTCAGCATCATAAGCGCCGACCTTGGATATTGCGCAAACGATTTGACTTTTGCATATCATTTGTGCGATGAACAATAAATTAGCAGAAACAAACAGAAACACGGGCTTCGAATTGATATTTCGTCAATTTCGACGAAAATTTATCGCATGCGTCGATCTTATATCATACGGATCTTCCTTCGTCTCTATCTCTAGTTTACGGCCAATAGGGCATCCTTAGCATATCTATATATATATATATATATTTTTACTTGTACTATATATACTGCGCACTAGATGTAGAAGCGAGGTGTACAAAAAAAAGGAGATAAATCTCTCCGATTAAAACGAGCTATTAAATAGTGCCGCTCCTGCATCACGTTCATCAATCTGCGAGAGGATCATAAGTGGCGCCAATGGATCGGACCAGTATGCGAAGGTCATTCCGGTCAGGCAGGGGCTCGTCGTGCAGGACCAATCAACGATGGCCGTTCTAGAACGCCTTTCAGCCAAGAATGTGCCGCATGGTAACAGCAAATCGTATCCATGACCACCATCGTGGAGGGAGAGTCGAGCAACGACGACTCTCTCGCGACGTGAATTCCTTTGATGTCGGATTACGTCAAGAGACACCTCTGAAATCTCGGTCGAAGATCACATGAGAGAAACCGCGTGACCGTGACATGGGTCAAAAAATAGAGCAATGATAGAAATTTATTTTACAGATATACTTCGATATCGAAAAATCGGAGGCTGAAATTTTGTAAAAACTCTGCGAGTTGCTTCTCTTTTCGAGAGAAATCTCGAATGTCTCAATTTAATGTGCAATTAAAATATTTAATTTCTTACAGGATAGATTAAGACGCGTTAAAGCGAATTCCGTTCTGTTTTATGTGCATTCAATATTTACTTTTATCTTTGATTTGTCTCTACTACAAACAATTAGAAATCATCGTCATCATTATTTCCAATATAATGGCCATTTAAAAGAAAAACAAGAAATTTGAAGACGAAACACAAAAATGGAATTTTTTAAATAACGAAATAATGTTTGAATAATCATTTAATTCGATAATGATACGTACTTTTAAGATAAAATCATTTAGAAAGAATCTTCAAGGCCTTTTTTTGCAGTGTCATCTGTCAAAGCTTTTTAATCATATTATGTTCTTGACTTCTTGTTAATTTCTCGAAAAAAGATTTTTGAACAAAAATGTGTAATAGTAGTTATTAAGTAAAGTAAAAAACATCGGAACTGTCTGCAGTTGTTGATAGTCAATATCTTCCCGAGCATTTAATTTTTTTTAAATCGATTTTTATAGCTGACATAAAATTTCGTAATCTAATTTTATTTCTCTCATCTATTACTGCATACAAGATTGTTACATTCGTTGTTTTTATTTGCGAGAGGAAAATCCCGTTTCATACTCGCAACAGTTCTTTTTTCTCTTTTTTCCATATTCTAGCACTTGTGCCAAGCAGTCATGACTTTAGATTTTGAGATAAATTTCACTCGAGTATAATAAATATCCTTTATACTTTCATCAATTATAGAATAATGCAAATATTTTATTTATTGCATAATTGATAACATACGTCGATAAAACAGGTAACGTGATAACCATAAAGCATAATTATGTACGAAATACAATTATCGATGTGCAGATATATGATAAAATGGCGATCATATTTTACAGAGATGAAAAAATCTCATATTCTCGTCTTTTAATTGTCATACTAATTAATTGAAATAAAGATTATAATACTATGTAAGAGAAGAGTTAAATGGAGAGGAGAGTTAAAGATATATATAACATACATCATTCGGGATTTGTCAGTAACATTGAAAATATTTATTGAAATTCTCCATATAGGCATGTTTTTGTAAATAGATTCTTTATTACGTAATAAATGTACAACATGTGTAAAATAATCCTGCACATATGTAATGAACAATTTTTAGGCACTATAGCACATTTAAAATTTGCCGATATGGTGCTCATTTAGTCAAATCACGCTGGTATTCGAATTTCTATTATATACATATACAAAATAAGTAAAAACAAAAAAGGCTCTGACATATCAAATATAAGAAGTCTGGAAGGAATAGGACTAATAAGAGCCGAGCACAGTAAATAAAGGCATTTATATCTCGTGTAAGAATTCTCTTTAATAATAATGAATGTTTCGGTCCTTTCTTTGGATCGTCTTCAACATGCAAGGGTTAAATAAAATAATAGAAATATAAAAAAGAAGTATGTTATTTACTCTTATACGCTAAAGATGGTTTAAAGAAAGAACTGAAACGTTCATTACTAAAAAGAATTTTTAATATAAGTACATTTATGTACTGTACTCGGCTCTTATCTATTCCTTCTCTTCCAGACTTTTTACATTTTATATACAGAATAGTTTCCAATCTGTAACTGTAATATGTGTAAGAAATACGCGGTGATGTTTTATTGGTTTGATTATAATATTATAAGGTAATTACTTAAATATATGGCGAGTATAGTCGAACAGATCTATTTTTAATATGATTGCAGGTTTTAAACACTGTTTAACAAATATATTTCCATACTTTCAAAAAACTGTTGACTATCATTGCTTTCGTAATCTATAGATTAGGTTCATAATCATGTATTCATTTAGATAAACGATAATTTCAATTTAAAAAATTGCATGATTGAAAATACAGTATCAATAGCCAAAATGTACAGGCGGCAGATATATAATAGACTGTTCTCTATGTAATTCCTAAATTAATCTGCAATAGAGAAATTGTAAAATTCACAAATTCCTAATTAAAATTACAGTACATAATAATCTCAATCGTACAAAAAAATACAATTTGATTTTAAAAATATACATCTTACATGTACATACACAATTCATTACTATCAAAGGATCACGGTTTTCTGCCTTCTATATATGTCAGAGTACACAACATTCCTATTTTTTTTTTATACATACTAATGATATATCGGAAAATGATAAATTTTCTTATCAAATGCAAGCATTTCCATATGGATCTACATGCAACATTTTCCACATTTATTCAGACTATTTATTTTAAATAATATATATCATAACCCTGTTCTCAAATATACAAAATGGTTGTTTAAGCAAATAATCTAATTATGTGCAACAGTTGTCTAGAAGATAATAATCAAATATATATTCTAATCTTTAAAGCTTTCCATCTGATCGACTGTTTACACTTTTTAGGGGATAATGAAAGTAAAATATTACAAAAGTTCATGATTGATGCATATATAATGATGCAATGTTACTTAGAAAAATGGAACAAAATATACTGTCTAATTTTAACTGCAGATTCCTATAAATTTAGCAAGAAAATAAAAAGAAAAAAAAAATAATTACTTTACTGTGAATATTTTCTACAAACACAAATACTATTATTTTTTTTGCAGTAAGAAGTTAATTGTTACAACAGTGCTTAAGGCACTTAGGTGAAAATTAATGTTGTAAATATCTCCAAATTATAACTATCTGTCATAAAGTTAAAATAACTGCCGATTAAGCGGGCAGTGCCAATACTTGGAATGTTCTGACATAATATGTCTCATATTCTCATAAATGCATAATTAAAATAATACATATGCATAAAATAATACAGCAATGTAATAGCTTATTTTCGAAATAATACTTACAAGTACAAGCTCAGACCCGAGTGGAATGTAAAATTCGAAAATGATTATGATTTTTTCGAAGATTTTCCTTTTTTAGAATACTTTTTAAAAAGTATAGTTATATAACTTTATTACATACATATATAAGGCACGATCAAAGGGATTGATTTATATTAGAGACTTAAGTTTTACATACAAAAATCTAAGAGAAACTAAGCTGCAAATTAGGCTTTGGCTTAAAAGTAATATCGGTTTTTTAATATTTCTCTGATATTTAGTGCCAATCTCAAATTCGAAGTATATTTTTAATTTTTATTTAAATTTTATATTGTTTTATATAAATTTTTTTGTAGTTATATTTAATGTATTTTTAATGTAGTTTTATTTAAATTATTTGAAACTGTGTAAATATTATTCTTAATCAATCGTGCCTATCGTAGAAAAAAAAAAGAAAAAGAAAAAAAAAAGAAAAAGAAAAAAAAGTACTTTGAAGTCTCGCGTATGAGGATTCAGAAGACAAAACGCCTGAACCAACTCATAAAATGTCAAAAACTTTAACATGAGCTGCAATAGGATAACGATGATATCTCGTTGAAGATATGATTACTCTTATAATCACAATATCTACCTTGACTAACATTCCAACTTACAAAATTATCGTAAACTTGTCAACAATTTGTATGCCTGGCGCCTCTCATTAATGGAATCAAGATACTAGGACTTTGAGCTTGCCTGAGGAATGGATGTTGCAATAGTTCAGCTGCCGTGGCCCGTTGCGCCGGATCGCGCACAAGCATTCGTTCGAGAAAACCTTGAAGACGTGGACTAACCTGCAAGTGAAAAGAAAATGTTGTTCATATTTTGAAGTTATAGTTATGTTTTAAAATGCTGAACCACATGTGTGTGTTTATGCCTAATTTGATAAGAGAGTTAATTACTTTGTGAAAATTCTTTAGTTTTGGTGGCGGCATATCCCTGATACGTCTCATAGCTTGTAGAGGTGGTTCATTGAAAAATGGTGGCTCACCGTCAATCATCTCAATGATCATTATTCCTAATGACCAAATATCCACTTCAGGCCCATATGGCAACCTGTAAATGAAGATACAGGAAACATTTTTGATTATATATTTGTCTAATAATTGGAATAACCATAATACTTAAAGCACGTGTCAATAGAAGTGCTATGAGTATCTTTTACTTTGGTTCTTACAAAATTGCAAAATTTTATGAAGAGAGAATCATACAATGAATAGAAAAGTATTATTCGAAGGAGATAAAAGGCAATAGAAAAATATTACTCATATATTATAATAATATGTATTAAGATTTAATCTTTTTATCATGATTCAAATATGATAAGAATAAACATAAAATGTACATTATATTCAGTTTTTTGTGAAAGTAAGAAGTATTTTTGTAAAAAATAAATTTAAAATACCTTGAAATGACTTCTGGACTCATCCAGTATGGGGTTCCTACAAGAGATTTTCGCTTTGGTAATTCTTGAGAGACTTGAGCACAGAAACCGAAATCTGATAGTTTTACTCTGCCATCTGCCGTAAGTAATATCGAGTCCGACTTAATATCCCTGTGTATAACACCTTGTGAGTGTAAATACGCTAGTGGTTTGAGGCATTGAGAACACACTGTGGCTATTTGACTTTCGTCCATCCTTGAGTGTGTTACAATATCAGTTAGTGCACCTCCTTCAAGATACTCCATAACGACCCATAATTCATCGTCTACCAGGAAACTATCATACATCTCGACTATATTTGGATGATGATAGTCTCTCATAATGACAACTTCGTTGAAAAGTAATTCACGTCTTTGTTGTTTTCTCAAGTCCATTTTCTTAACTGCAACTTGACGATTTGTACTCTTATCTGTAGCTATGCATACAGTTCCCGTGCTGCCTTCGCCGATCTTTAGGAAATTCTCCAAATTTTCTCTCGGATCTCCTTGGCTTACCTAAATGTATATATATTTAGGATATGTAAATATCACACATTAAAGTTAAGTCTTAGAGTGCAAAATTTGTTTGAATGCATTTAAGAGATAAAGATATGCGGTTTAAATTTAAAGATATGTTTTCTTTCATGAAAACGTAATGTTTAATGTATATTTATAGTAATGTAATAGATAAATTCTTTTGAATAAAAATTTTCTACATACCACCATCTGTAAAGCAGCCCTAAACTGTTCATGTGTAAGTCTCTGATCTGCCTGCTTGTTGGTATTATTTGCACTTGTACCAACTGCCAAACTTCCTGAAGAGACAGCACTCTTCATGTTTTGATTTTGATCCGGAGTAGAACCGCTACCGGATACCGTGGATGGCATGCTCGGTTTTGATAAATTATGCATTGATTGAGAAGTTTCCATTGGTTTTTTCAGATGTGACTGGAGGTTGGACGGATTTTCAGGCATATTATATGCCTGAGGATATTTATTAATATTATGTGAACTTAATTGACTCAATGGTCTTTGCGAGGCTATTGAACCTACTGGCGAAATTTTTGGCTGTAGCTTGTGTAATAACGCATTTTGGCTCCCTTGATGTTCTCTCGATGCCTCTATAGCTGAACCCTATAAATTAATTAATATTATTATTACATTAACTGTATTACACATTTGTTAAGCGTATATCCTACTTTTCTTAAAATATAAGAGAGCTAATGTTATCCACGTTTTAATTTTTAAAATATAATTTGTTTAGATTGTCGCTTTTTGCATAAATTGAGTTAATTAGATGATATAACTTAATATATATGTAACTATGACTTAAGAGGAATAACATTATCTTTTATTATTAAATTAGTTTATAGAAAGAGATTATAAATGTAAATGTGTGTACTTAAATTGTGCACAATTGTTAAAGTTTTAATTGTATACATATAAAAATATTATTCTTCATAAGATAATTACAAGTATGCAAAATATATTGTATAACCAATTACCTGTACATTGCCGTTATATTGAGTTGATGTTATGGTCATTTGGGAATTTAGTCTATGAAATTCTGGATCTGGAAATTGCGGATTATTTGGACTTTGTACTGGAGCTTGTGAATTAATAATAGGACTTAGGTTTTGGAAATTAATTGATAGATTTGGTACATTTGATCCGGAATGAGTTAAGTTTGGCGAGGATTGCATATTAGGATTAAGATTCTGAAGGTTTGGTATCATGTTCTGCATGCTGGAACTTAGTCCGCTGCCAACGCTCGGGGAATTCTGTCTCAATTTATCGATGTAGTTATGTGGCTTGCTAAAGTTTACGAAGCCTTGATTAATATTTGAAGGTACCTCCTGGCCTTCGGGGACGGATGGTGGAAGATTGCTGGCATGCCTGCAAATGGAAAATGTGATTATCATTATACTATAATCTTATTAATTTCATAAAAAATGATACAGGATATCCAAAGATTATCCATCATAAATTTGAAGCTGCTTAATTTATATATATCAACTGTAACGCTATTGATAATGCTAATCTTTAATAAGTTATTGGTCTATATTAACAGCGATACCTGTAATCTCTCCTGAGTCGTGGTGGACTCGAAGAACGTAGAGAATTGGAGCGAGAAACTGTACTGGTCTTAGGTAAACCGTTCTCCACAGGCTTCTCATTGGTAAGTGGTTTATTCGGCTTAAGATCATTGTGTCCTCTTACAATAGTCTTCAAGTCCAGGATCTCAGTAGGCGTGATTTCGCTTGGATCGACCAACGGCAATGGTCTATTGGTCGATTTTAGAATCTGATTATTCCCAACTATCGAAGCCCATTGCAGCGGTAATCCGACAAACTTGCCCTCGCGTTTGTCAAATCCGGTATGCACCCTGTGCTCAAAGTTAGTCGGCGTAGAGATCTGTGGTTTCTTTTTCTTCTTGGTAAACATTGTCCCTGCTTCAAGAAAACGACTAACATTAGCGTATTGTATGATACAAATGTAAATGATATATAATACAATGACTTTCATCATCTATGATCTATGTCATATAGTATTTATCTATATAAAAATAGGAGATAAAAGCACACGATTTTACAGCTGTTAGATTGCACACGCCTATTCCGCCATCGCAGCATCCCCCACGAACATTTCTCGCTAATTCTAAAGACCAGCGATTCACGTTACGAGGGGAAAGGTGTATCACGCGTGTGAAATGCGGGAGTGGCGTGAAATTCATGAAAAAATAGCGCGTGGCGAGGAGGAAGCCAAATGACAGCAGCAACGCCTACCGAACGACGATGCGATTCCTGCGACGCGGCTCCACCGAGGCCCGGCCGCTTGGCTTGATTGTCACGCGTTAGGGTTCCTTTCTTCGTGGACACTCTCAGAACGGAAACGTGGTGCACGGGTAGGCGAGACAGCGGCAAAACATAGGCGATGTTGCACGTTAAAACACGTAAATACGCCATTCATCCATCTCGACAGGTCGCACACCGGCGCACCGTGCGGTAAGCTTACGAATCTTTCGTGGCATTTAGTTCAATTTGCTGAATTTGCTGAAAGTGTGTGTGCGCGCGCGCGCGCGCAGTACACGTGATCGAGGTAATATAGTACATGGCACCTGCGCGAACAGAGCGGAGCGGAGCAATGCGAACCGGAAACGGTAGACGGAGAGAGTACGAGAGAAAGCGATTTGATGAGAGATCGAGGAAAAAGAGCGATCGCGCGAAAATTCTTCGATCAAGCGTTTTAACGCGTGATGTTCCACTTCGATGAATTTATGTCTAGAGAGAGTCGCACCTATATCTATTCATTTTCAAGAAGATATTCTTGCTGATAGTCTCAATGAGCAAACAATGAATTTAATAACGATTAAAGCAATGAAAAGAATTTGCATTTAAAAAAAGACGTTTTCCTTGTGTAAAATATATATTCTATAAAAATATAATAGGAAGGCCTTTTAAAAAAAATTATATATACGTATTTTATTAAAAAATTTTCTTTGAACTTTCAATATAAAATATTTCCATCATAGAGAAAAAAATCACAATGATATCATAATGATATTGCCCTGTGACAATCGATTATGTCATAATGAAATCACAACGAAGTCATGGTGATATGCGAATGTTCGCTTTGTCACAAGTGTATTAATGTCCCTATGACATCATTGTGATGTGAAATAAAATGTTACAATGATTCAATTTACATTAGACACACACATAAAATGGTCTTATATATACGTTTTTTTAAAATAAATTTAGTTCACTCAATATACATATATAGTTTATATGCTTGTATTTTTAAAATATACAAACATACATTCGTATATATATGACAAAAACACGGCCAAATGTAATTAACTAAATAATTAAATAATTAAATAAAATTAATTTATTTCATAACATTATTTTTATCGAAAGTGGATTTTACATTTTAAATAGACAATATTTAATAGACAATATTTAATAGACAATATTTAATAGACATTTTAAATAGACAAATGATTTTCATTTATTCGGATATTTATCCACCCGATTTCTGAACAATCAGTTTAATATCTGAATTCTTTGTGTTGAGATTGTATTCAAATCCTAGAATTAGAAATCAAACTGATAGGAATAGTTATTACAATTTTAATATATGTATATTATTATTAGTCAGTCTGTAAGAGCTATATATAATTTTCATGACTAAAATTTAAATACGAGATAGAGCGCATAGTGCGTCGCATAGTGTAAATTTTTTCGTTGTTGTATTTTGAACATAACATGACACATCATGCTATATCGACAGAATATTGTCAGAAATCGAGTTCATCTGCAAGCACGGCGTAACAGCAGAAATGCTGCAAAAATTAAGTATGCGCTGCCATCTTAAAAGATAACAGCAAAAACACAGCAGAAACACAGTCTGGTCTATTGTCATAAAATAATGGCAGAATCATAGCAATATTAAAAGATATGTTAAGTATATCAAGTTATAGTTCTTTCGTTTATCGCTATATGACGTATCTACCTCGTATTCAAGTTTCCGTTAAAGGCAAATATAAATACTACAAAGCGCGGTTAACAAGATTAAAAATGTGTAATGGCTCATGCATACAGGATCCGGCAAGCGTTGCATCCTGTGTGCCAGGAGCCATAGAAAAAGATGACTTTCCATAACCAAAGGCATAAATGCATATAATCTGACATATTCGAGTGTAAATATATAGACTCAATAAAAACATCTGAACACATAAGGATCCTCTCCCACTTGAAAATCACAATAATGTTGTTTATAAGATTTTGTGTCTGTCTTGCGATGCTTCTTATATGGGATAAACCACTAATTATTAACAGATAAGCAGATAATTATTAACAAGAATTAAAGAATATCGCCTGAATATTAATAGAGCTTCGTCTTCTCACTTTTTAATTACCGACCATCAAGGCATGAGTTCGATTGGAAAAATGTGCATATATTAGATGAGGAGCCCTCTTTTGTTAAGAGATGCATTTCTGAAATGCTACATATATTAAGCAACAAAAAAAATGGTATCAACTTGCAAAAATCTCTTTGATCATTCCTATTTTCCAATCATCAAAAAATGTTTGTAATCTGTTCTCTTACTTCTTCATGTTGTTTTTGAATCTCATTTTTTCATTGTTTTTAATTTCTTTTGTTGACGTATTCATATCTCCTGTGTTCCCCTCTTAATCCTTGGCCTCTCTCCTTGTGTTGTTTTGTTCATTCATTATCGAGACAGCCTACAGATCAGTTTTATCTTTCTCACGCATCACTCCGATATTTTAATTTTCTGTTTCTCTTATTAATTTGATTGGCTGATTTATTTATTCAGAATTGTTAACGCTTCCAATTGTTGTAAGTATTTTTTTATACTCATAGTTTTATGGTTTCCTCCTTTGATGCAGTCATTATTTTCCTTTTGTAATTTTATTTTCATGTTCACACATTAATTCTCATCTTTCCTACAACACCTGAAACTTTACGTTCGCATCGAGGCTATCAGTCCTCCACTTTGTCTTTTTTTCGTCATCTCTCTTTTGACTTTTGCCAACGAAGAATGAGAACAACCGACATCCATTTGCTCTAGCGACTTTGTTGCATATTGAATTATTGCAGTTTTTGAAGGGAAAGTATAATATATACGTGGTGATTGGTGTGAGCATCCGATCTATGCTAATTAATCATTTGCTTTATCGACAACTAGGTTTTTACATTATAAGCGCTCTAAGGATTAAATTAACTTTTTCGCGTTGCGTTTTATCTTTGTATTGATTTGCCTCGAATCGTTGCCATGTACTTGCGTTTTTTAGTTAGTTTCTTTTAATTTTATATGTCATCATTGAGAAGGACCCGAAGTGGGTCGAAACGTATGAATGGATATATAATATATTATTAATGTACATTTTATGAAATTTAACCTTGTTTTTTACGCTTTAAGAACCGCGTCTGGACTCCAATTAGCCTTTCTTTTCATTTTTTTTTCTGATTTTATCATTAGAGCCTTGCTAACATATTTTAATTTTATTGTGTTATTATCTTTTTCTTTGTTTTATAATTATACTATTATTTTGGTTTTAACATGTCTACAATCTTTTCTAAGATTTCTTTCTTGTTGGTAACACGAGGTTTATTATCTTTTTGTTTAGCCGACAAAAATTTAACTACACCTTCTCTTCCACTTTTTTTATAAATAGCTTGTAATTTCATACGATTAATATTCGCATTTGTTAGTTTCTTTATCATCCCCTTGGAGATAACACCTTCTAAAAAGTTCAAAGACGGTCTCAATACTGCTGCCTTTTGCAGTCGAGTTTCATGGGCAAGTAATTTCGTGAAAGATTTCATGTTCTGAGCCAAAATCTTCTTAGTAGTCTCCTTAGTAGTAAAAATAATTTTCGAAGCGATTTTTTCCAGTATTTTTACATCGTATGCTGCATTATGATAATTTCCAATCAGTTTTATTTCCAACTCTTGGGCAAGAGTTGAAAGTTTGAACATTTCTGGACCTTTTCTCTCAGGATAAATTTTTCTAAGAATGATAAGAGTATCTGCAAATCCAACGATGAGCTTTTCGAAATCCTCTATCATCAATTTTTTTTTCAAAGCACGGAATAAGAGAGGAAAGTCAAATCTTAGCCCATTGTGCGCAACAAGAATACACGGCTTTAATGCAGCTAACCATCTTTTGAACGCACATAGTACTTTCTGCAAAAGAGAGGACAAAACTCTTTTGTTATTCAAAAATAACGTTCCGTCCACATTTTTAAAGCCGCTGATTGTATTCCTAGGCATAATTAACTGAGTAGGATTCACGTATTTGCAAAATCTGCGTTTTCCGCACTTTGCAGCAATCTGCAGAATGTCCGCTGTTTTTTCGAGTCCCGATGTCTCCAAATCGAAGTATACCAGGTTTACATTATCTGGGAAGTAGGATTCACGTATTTGCAAAATCTGCGTTTTCCGCACTTTGCAGCAATCTGCAGAATGTCCGCTGTTTTTTCGCATCCCGAAGTATACCAGGTTTACATTATCTGGGGATCGAGAAGTACTCTGGATATTGTCACCAAGAAGCTTGCTGTCAAAATGTCTGCTTTGATGTGAGTAAGCCATGATACCGTTGATGAAGCTTTTGTTGGCTTGATTAGAAGCAGCAACTGAAAATTTTGATGCATTATTGGCATATTCAATATTACCAATCTCGAAGTATTAAAATGATCGAAGAGAACAGCAAAATAAATATACAAATAACACTCGAAATATTTGAGTAAATGTTAGAAATGTTTAAACTACACATATATGCAGCGAATTTTAACGAAAAATATGATTAATGGGAAGACGAAGACTATACATACCTGGTTACGATGATGTACACGTATTTTAGATGTTTGGCGGGAAAATAAAGAAAAAATGTGAAGACGATTTCGAACTTGATACTAAAATTGCAGTGATAACGATTCTTGAACTCGATGAATGTCGGATGCTGACAAGAAATGATCTGCGATAAGATTTCGCGCGCGAAATTTTTTGTGATGTCATCACCGTGAGTCAAGATCTAACAAAGAGCGCACTATCATTCAAAATATTGGTTGCATTCAGCAGAACAACTGCTGAGTTGTCGTCTTATCAACATTACGTTGATTTGTTGATTCTAAAAGTTAGAGCCAATCACGTTCGACTACTAAGCGGTTTAATCGCGACTTTTCGTATGACATTTTGTGAAAACCTGACAATATATCTATCGCCGATTATGTGAACTTGAAAGAATTAATTAACGCACTGTTAATGATTAATTCTAAAACGTATTATTTAAAATGTATCAAAGTTTAACATATTCAGTAGTTGGTGCTTGTTTTTTAAAATTATATCTATATCGCATTTCATTTAATCGATGAAAAAGAAGGATGCAATGATCTCTCAATTACAAAATCGAGAAGTACTCTGGATATTGTCACCAAGAAGCTTGCTGTCAAAATGTCTGCTTTGATGTGAGTGAGCCATGATACCGTTGATGAAGCTTTTGTTGGCTTGATTAGAAGCAGCAACTGAAAATTTTGATGCATTATTGGCATATTCAATATTACCAATCTCGAAGTATTAAAATGATCGAAGAGAACAGCAAAATAAATATACAAATAACACTCGAAATATTTGAGTAAATGTTAGAAATGTTTAAACTACACATATATGCAGCGAATTTTAACGAAAAATATGATTAATGGGAAGACGAAGACTATACATACCTGGTTACGATGATGTACACGTATTTTAGATGTTTGGCGGGAAAATAAAGAAAAAATGTGAAGACGATTTCGAACTTGATACTAAAATTGCAGTGATAACGATTCTTGAACTCGATGAATGTCGGATGCTGACAAGAAATGATCTGCGATAAGATTTCGCGCGCGAAATTTTTTGTGATGTCATCACCGTGAGTCAAGATCTAACAAAGAGCGCACTATCATTCAAAATATTGGTTGCATTCAGCAGAACAACTGCTGAGTTGTCGTCTTATCAACATTACGTTGATTTGTTGATTCTAAAAGTAAGAGCCAATCACGTTCGACTACTAAGCGGTTTATTCTGCTGAATATATATATATAAAATAGTTTAAAGTAATTTGAATCACATTATTATTATACTCTACGAAGTGTTAGAAATTTCTCTCGAAGGAATATCGAACGCGGATTGCTTTCACTGTGTAATGTCCGATATATATATATATATGTCATAGGACGTAAAATATTTCAGCAATGTATTATCAATAACAAGGTGTTTGGCCTTGGCGGCGTAAACATTAGCGCGCTATTGTTAATATGTTATGATTTACGGCTTTATCATTCGCACGGCGACGCTCGAACAGTAATGTAATAGTGCGAGACGCTCCGTCAAATTCCTTTTCTAAACGCGATCGCGACAAGTATCGGCAAAAATTTAATATGATTGATAATTAATTTTCTCTTTCTCATTCTCTAGGCAACAATTATTTAAAAATACTTAAAATTAAATATATTTTGTCGATGCTTTATCGGACGAAATTTCGTTCAACTTTCCGACAATCTAAATATGATTCGAATTGAGAACGCACAATAAAAGTCGAATCGCAGATCCGAGTAATTAATATAACGATAAGCTCCGTGATATATTAATCTTTTATTAAATGAATGATCTATAATTTAAAATACTTGTATAATTTAATATTCCGTTTGTATATATGTCATAGTACGTAAAATATTTCGGCATCGAATTATCAATATGGTATTCGATCTCAGCGGCATAAACAATAGCGCGCTAATATTTACGTGCTTCGATAATGTTATCATTCGCACGACAACACTCGAGCAGTAAAGTAATAGTACGAAACGCTTCGTATCTTATCAAATTCCGTTTCTAAACGTGGTCGCGACTATTATCGACACATAATTGCTATCATTTTAATTATTACAATTAACAATTAATTAGTTTTTGATAAATGACATAAAACTGTATCGCGACAATAATAAAGTATCTCGTGTGATCGTTCCACGATCGGAAGTGCCGTGCAGTCTCACGATTGTTGTATACGATTAATCATAATTAATCGTATTTTCGCGAGTGAATGTGAGTGCTATAAGAAAACAGCAGATGAGAGCAAGAGAGGGAAAGGAAGTTTGAGGGCAACAAACGCACCAACAATATGCGGTAAGTAATTTATAAATTATTTAACATTTATATTATTTATCAAGATAGACATATTGTTTCTTCCTCATTTACTCGTCATCTATTCATAGTTCCTCGATCCTTCTAAATTGAAATAACACGGTTAAAAATATAGGAAAATATAATAAAATAGATCTCCGCGTTTCGGAAATCACAATTTCGAGTATGTCGAGTATATAAATACACATCTGTCTTCCGAAAAAAGTAGACTTTCTTGCATTTCCTGCTTTATAATTAAAATTCTGAGTGGAATTCAACGCGATATAAAAGACATTCTTAACAGTAATTATTCGCTAAAACTAATATTGCGAGAAATATCGCGACTTTTCGTATGACATTTTGTGAAAACCTGACAATATATCTATCGCCGATTATGTGAACTTGAAAGAATTAATTAACGCACTGTTAATGATTAATTCTAAAACGTATTATTTAAAATGTATCAAAGTTTAACATATTCAATACTTGGTGCTTGTTTTTTAAAATTATATCTAT